CAAGTATAGGGGGTTGACAATTTTGGTCCTGACGGAATGCAGTAAATATGAATAGTACCACAACTTTTAAAAAATGATCAGAAGTAGGACTTTTGCCGGATTTACTATTTCTAGCCCGGAACGCCACGACACGCAGACGTGGCTTATTTTTTTACACGCTGGCATCCGACGTAGATAGGGAAAAATTCAAAACTAGTCCCACAGGTATATGGGGGTGACATTTTTGGTCCCGATAGAATGCAGAAAATATGAATAGTCCCAAAGCTTGTAAAAAAATTATGAACACGTCGGATGCCAGCGTGTAAAAAAAATAAGACAACTTGTAAAAAAATAAGCCACATTTTAAAAGTTGTGGGACTATTCATATTTTCTGCATTCCGTCGGGACCAAAATGGTCACCCCCTATACATGTGGGACTAGTTTTGAAGTTTTTCCAAAAGAAAGCAAACACGGATACTACACAGTAACATTGTTTGAATGTTAGCAAATTGGGGAAAAATTCAAAATTAGTCCCACAGGTATAGGGGGTGACAATTTTGGTCCCCGACGGAATGCAGAAAATATGAATAGTCCCACAACTTTTATAAAATGATCAAAAGTAGGACATTTTCGTCGGATTTACTATTTCCGGCTCGGAACGCCACGTGGCGCACACGTGGCTTATTTTTTTACATGCTGGCATCTGACGTAGATAGGAAAAATTCAAAACTAGTCCCACAAGTATAGGGGGGTCACATTTTTGGTCCCGATGGAATACAGAAAATTCAAAACTAGTCCCATAACTTGTAAAAATATATGAACACGTCGGATGCCAGCGTGTAAAAAAATAAGCCACGTATGCGCCACGTGGCGTTTAGAGCCGGAAATAGTAAATCTGGCGGAAAAGTCCTACTTTTGATCATTTTTTAAAAGTTGTGGGACTATTCATATTTTCTGCATTCCGTCAGGACCAACATTGTCACCCCCTATACCTGTGGGACTAGTTTTGAAATTTACCGCAAATTAGTGTAAAAAATTAGACTATTTAACCTTAATTAGAGAACCTTATTTAGATGTTCGACCATTCAAATCCACTAATTAGCTTATTGGGTAAAAAGTTTATTTGATTAGCTTTTTGAGTCCAAATTAAATATTAATGTTGAAAAACTCGATATATGGACATTTTGAGAAGAAATGATTCGTAAAATAACATGTAACATAAAATTTTCTAAATAGTTATACTATTCGCTATTTACCAAACAATTATTTACAAACAGACAACAGTATTCGCTAGTCAAATCTGTTACTACAATCTGCTACGAGTTATCTGCTTATACGATCATCGATCTATCCGTTATCAGCTAATAGCACAAAAGGCTAATTTTGTAAATTTTCCTTCATATTATATGTATGATTGAGAAAGATCTACTGCTGATTAAGGTTGCAAAAGACCATGCAATAAATAAAGACAGCATATGTTCATGCTTGGGGAGCACTATTTGGACAGCAAAAAGAAAGGGAAAGTTGTGAAGAAGTCACGTGTGACCCATAAAGAACACCTGCTAATGTGAGTGATCTCTGTAAGGAATCCCCCCACCTGCATGGACTCATCAATTCCACATACTAAAAAGACGAGATATGAAAACAACAATATTAGAGAGTGGGAGCAAAAAAGAAGAAGTTGAATTCCCATTTTAAGAAATAAAATTGAATACTTTCTCAATTATTGTCCATAACACTTTAACCAAACTATTTAAAAATAATTTTACTTAATGCATTTCAAAAATTAGCATTTGTAACTGATAGGTTCTCTTCAGGCAGGCCTGTTGATGACCCTCGGACAAATTTGGGTACTTGCGTGTGTTTGAGGGCAAAATTGTGTGTGTGTTGTCTATACACCTCTGCTTGCTTTGGCATATGAAGAAAAAATGGAAAGTCTCCCATTTTTGTTCAATTTATCAAATAAAATAAAATACATTGGATTATAAATATCTAACTAGTACAAAACATGCGAGGTTTTATCTCAAAACCAATTGATGATAGAAGTAGTTCACTTGGCTTATAAACTAGGCCCATGTACCTTATGAAATCAATATGTGACAACTTACAAGTGATTTTCTAATACGTCTCTTCATTTGTGAGTGCCCAGAGTAGGTCGAGTAGCCCATTTATCCTAGAGAATCAATGTTCTTTCACTTGTGAGTCCTTCATAGATTCAAGTCAAGAACATACTGGGTATATTAAATCATCGCATATAAAATAACTCATTTATCCTATATAATCAATATAATCCATATAAGATAGCTTACAAACGAGATTCCAACACGCTCTCTCACTTGTGAGTTCTTCATAGGCCCAAACTCAGAGCATACCGAGTAGATTAAATCATCACAGGTCCTACATATGGATTGCTCTAATACTTGAGCAGGTCGTAGATCAGGCCCGGTACCATGTTTGAGTTATAAATTCGGGTAAAGAGGGTGTTGTCCTATAGAGGTGAAACATACCATAAGAGGGTGAACATATGTTCACTTTATTGAGGTTACATCCCTAAATCAATTGGTGGTGGGAGGAATAATAGTCCACTAGCTTATAAATTATACTCATTTACCCTATACAATTAATGTGAGAAAACTCAAAAGTGATAATCCAACACTATCGAACGTGAACAAAAACAAAACAACACCGTACTTATGTTTACATTATAGTGTAAACAATAGTCATATAATGGTCATACTTGATGGGATTCGTTTTACCTGTAGCGTCAAAATTGAATACCGGGATTCATTAGTTATAAAGAAAATTATTTTATATTGTCACATAACTTTTTTAGACAAAATTAATTTAAATTTTTAACTCAAAATCCAACTAAAATCTGATTCGACTTAATTCTACTCTTTATCATCAATATAGTTAAACATTAAAAACCAATAATTACCATACGATTTTCAACAAAATTCATTATTCACCAACTCACATATTTTTAATTAACTATCAATCTTTTAATATAATTATTTTACTGATAACATATCAACTTTAATTATTACATTTTAACTCATATCCACTAACAAACTTTGAACAAATTCAAATTGCCACACACACAATTTTTTTTTAGTTTTATTCCCTTTATTCAATAAACAAATCTAATCCAGAAAAACTTACTTTGAGTCAGACAAAAAATGGAAGTGCAAAGGAAATGATCTCGCGTCAAATTTTTGTTTTTTTTTTTTTCGAAACGATAGATACTATTATTCAATAAAAAAAGAGTACAACTCGGAAGGCTAAGTAGCCCAACAGTACTAGTACTATCCAAAGAGAGAACAGATGAGCACTAAAACAAGTGCCATGAAGCAAAAGGAAAGGAAACAAACCAAACATGGATGAGAGATCTTGCCTCCAGCAGCGACAAAAGCACTGTAACCGATAGCATGATGCTCATATCTACTGCTAAAAGAAGTAAAGAAAAGAGTAACTAACCACTGAACTAGAAGAATCTATGAGTTACTCAAGAAAAAATCAACAAGAGCTAAACAACGCAGCAGCTAAGCAACTAGACTATCAAAACAAACTAAACCCTGAGCATCATGATGGATTGTTTTTTTATATAATTGATATTTTTCTATTGTATAATTAATATAATGAGTTTCTAATTTTCTTACTGTATCAGTTACCTTTAGTTCATTACCTATGGAAATGTAAAGGTTACACTACAAAACAAAATGTTATATACCAACGGGAAATCCTACAATAATATATTTCAACGGAAATTCTAACACATATTCCAATGGTATAACTTTCGTTGGAATCATTCCAACAGAAATTTCAACGAAAATATTCCGCTTGAATGAATTTTTCATTGGAATTTTCGATGAAATTTGATGATTCCAATGGCTATTTTTCCAACGGTTTTTTACCGTAGGAATTTCCGTTGGAATATGCAATTTCAGTTGGAATTTTTATTTCCATCTCTGTTGGAAAATGTACCATTGGAATCTTCAAAATCAAATGGAAATTCCAATGGAAAACTCATTCCAACGGAATATTTTTGTCGGAATTTCCGTTGGAATTCCATTAAAATATATTTGTATTGGAACTTTCTGTTAGAATTTGATCATTTTGTTGTAGTGTTATAAATTAAACATTTAAAAATGAACTCCACATATTTATCATTGCTTATGTTAAAAATAAATTTTAATTTTTTATTTTTTTGTGTGAATATCATGCATGGTCTCAAGATAGTTTCTTTGGAAAACGATTTTCGGGATTCAACTGTTGAATGTGATTCGTCCCTAATGCTAGCCAATCGAAAGTTGATTAGTTTACACAAGTTTATGTAAGAATATATGTGGCCCGAAAGCATTGGGCTCACATTTAATTATCCTATTGGGTTAGGCCTTTATTAAATAGTCAAACAAATCTAAGCCATTAATCTAGATATTTGATGGACGTACCAGATCTAACGCACCCCTATATAAATTAGTCCTCTCTCCTCCTATTAGGGTACGCAGTAATTATCCCATCACTTTTTTGCTACGTTAGGGAAAAACTGATTTAGATCTATCAATCGATTCAACCCCGTGTGATCATCAAGATCAAGATCGCAAATTATGTCGTCTTCCGCATCAAATAAGTAATTCGTATACACCAAATTATTTATTCAAGATCCATGATGAAGTTTACATGTGGTATTAGAGCATGTGTTGTGAATAAGTAATTTGTTTGTATGAATGTTGATAGATTATTTGTCCCTAATGTTTATTGAACAAATTTAATCAAATCGATTTAAATTTGATCGAATTATGCGACACCCGAATGCTTGCTGTTGTTTATCTCCGAAATTGTGGCCATGTTTGTGCTGTTTGAAATCAAAAACTAAGAAAGCATGTTTTCTTATGGCCCACGCATGAAATTTTGATTTATTTAACTCTCGCCATTAATTTTGTTCAACCACGTATGATTGGAATGCTTGGATTGTGTCCTGATTGATGAAATTCCATGGCAATAAACTCCTTGAATGAATTATGAATGCTTTTTCGCATCAAATTGACCGATATCGCATCAAAGCAAATCATGTAATTTTCTTTGATTAATTGACATGATTATCAATTATTTGGATAGTCTGTTAGCCTACTGGCCTTATGACTGCGTATAAAGCAACATTAGTTATTAAGGTGTTGTTTATTATATGACATTAAGGAAAAATTAATTTGTTAGTCATCAAAGTGGCCTAATTAATTTTTATGTCCGGTCATATAATATTATTGTTATAATTTATTATTTTATGACATTAAGATGAAAAATTAATTTGTTAGTCACCAAAGTGGCCGAATGAATTTTTTAAAGTTTGGTCATATAACTTATGTTCTCTTGAGAATGTCATTATTTAAGATAATGAATTTATTGGTTGTTAGAAATTATGGATTTACCCAAAGGTGAATCAATGTTCTATAACTAATAAACATTAAGGAGAAATATAATATCCTTTTGTCGAGCGTATGTAGATATCCAAAGATACTATGTATGTTAGACGAAGTTTATTTAATTTCTCATTAAGTGCTAAATGACATTCGACTTATGATAATGATATATATTGTGTGTTTACCCAAAGGAGACCTGCAATATATGTGATGAATGTATTTTCTGAATCTATTAATTAAGTGAGCGTTTATGATTGTGCAGCTATCTCTCTTCATTCGCAAGCTTCTTCTGTTACTGTCTTCAATGGTTTGAATTTCTTTGAATGACGTGAGCAGGTCAATTTCCATTTAGGTGTTTTGGATATTGACTTGGCTCTGCTTGAAGAAAAGCCCGCTGACATTACTGATCAAAGCAGTGAGGTTGGGAAATCAAAACCGTAAGGCTTGGGACAGGTCTAACAGATTATGTTTGAGCTTTATGTGAATGACGATTGCCAACAACATTAAGTCAACTCTTCCCAATAATGTAGATGCGAAAGCATACCTTTTGCTTGTGGAAGAGTGTTTTCGTTCCGCAGATAAGTCATTGGCAGGAACACTTATGGTTGCACTCACGACCAAAAAGTATGATGGGTCGCGAAGTATGCAGCAACATGTTCTTGACATGACTAATCTTGCAGCAAGGCTTAAGTCCCTGGGCATGACCGTTGATGACTCATTTCTGGTGCAATTTATGCTTAACTCATTGCCTCATGAATATGGGTCATTTCAAATTAACTATAACACTATTAAGGATAAGTGGGATATTAATGAATTGGCCAGTAAGCTTATTCAGGAGGAGACGAGACTTAAGGCACAAGGAGTTCATACGGTCAACCTTGTGGATCATGGAGCTAATAATGTTCTCAAACCAAAATCCAACAAGTTTAAGAAGAAGGGACCTGCTAAAGTTTTACAGGTCACTAATGATGAAAAGAAGGAAAATCATGCAAATAAATGTTATTTCTGTAAGAAAGAAGGACATGTACAGAAAGATTGCCTGAAACGCAAGTCTTGGTTTGAAAAGAAAGGTATTTCTAATATCCTTGTATGTTTCGAATCAAACTTGTCTGAAGTTCCTTCAAATACATGGTGGTTGGATTCTGGTGCTACAACTCATGTTTCTAATGTGATGCAGGGATTTCTTACAATCCAGAGCATAAATCCAAATGAGAACTTCTTGTTCATGGGGAACCGTATGAAGTCCCCAATTGAAGGCATAGGTACTTATCGTATTGTTTTAGATTCCGGGCACCACCTGGATCTTTTGCAAACTCTCTATGTACCTTCATCTTCTAGAAGCTTAATGTCTCTTTCTAGACTTGATGTTCTTGGGTTTTCCTTTAAGTTTGGACATGGATGTTTCAGTTTGTTTGATAAACATGATTCCATTATTGGTTCTAGAATTCTTATGGATGGTTTATATAACTGAAACTTGATGTTGATTTTTCTGCATCTTTAATGTGTGTTCATCAAAACATTGGAATTAAACGTGGTGTAGCAAATGAGAACTCTGCTTTCTTGTGGCATAAACGTTTGGGTCATGTATCCAAAGAACGAATGCAAAGGTTGGTGAAAGATGAGATTCTTTTGGATCTAGATTTTACCGATCTTGGGTTGTGTGTGGATTGCATTAAGGGAAAGCAAACCAAACCAAACATAACAAGAAATGAGCCACAAGAAGCAGTCAGCTTCTTGAAATTATACACACTGATATTTGTGGACATTTTGATGCTTCATCCTTCAATGGAGAAAAGTACTTCATTACCTTTATAGATGATTTTACACGTTATGGTTATGTCTATCTGCTCAAGGAAAAATCTCAAGCTGCAAATGCACTTGAGGTTTTCATTAATGAAGTTGAAATGCAGTTAGACAGAAAGGTGAAAATAGTAAGGTCTGATAGAGGTGGTGAGTACTATGGAAGGTATGATGAATCGGGACAAAATCCTGGTCCATTTGCTAAGTTCCTCGAAAGACATGGCATATGTGCACAGTATATTATGTCAGGCACACCTCAACAAAATGGTGTAGCGGAAAGGCGAAATAGAACATTAATTGATATGGTTAGGAGTATGATAAGTAATACATCATTACCCAAATCTTTGTGGATGTATGCACTTAAGACTGCTGTGTATCTGCTAAATAGGGTTCTTAGTAAGTCAGTTCCTAAAAATCCTTTCGAGTTATGGACTGGAAGGAAACCTAGTTTGAGACACCTGCATGTTTGGAGTTGTCCAGCAGAAGCACGAGTATACAACCCACATGAAAAGAAATTGGATTCTCGAACTGTGAGTGGTTACTTTATTGGTTACCCAGAGAAGTCCAAAGGGTATATGTTTTACTGTCCTAATCATAGTTCTAGAATCGTTGAAACGGGCAATGCTAGGTTTATTGAAAATGGTGAAGTTAGTGGGAGTGCTAAGCGACTGTGGAAATTAATGAAATAAGGGTTGATGTTCCATTACCCATTAATGTTCCAATATTCACAGTTGTTCCATTTCCACAACCTCATGAACAAAATAATGGTGGACAAAATTTGGATGAAGTAGTACCCCATGAAGAAACTAACTTCCCACCAACTAACACAAATGAACCACGTGGAATAGCATTAAGCAAACCTACAAGGGTGAGAAACGTTAAACTCTATGGCTAAAAGCAATATTTGGGATCTAGTAGAATTGCCAGAAAGTTCAAAACGAGTTGGGTGTAAATGGGTCTTTAAGACCAAACGCGACTTGAGTGGCAATATCGAACGACATAAAGCTAGACTTGTTGCCAAGAGTTATAATCAGAAAGATGGCATTGATTATAAGGAGACTTTTTCACCTGTTTCTAAGAAGGATTCTTTAAGGATCATTATGGCTTTAGTAGCTCAGTATGATTTAGAGTTACATCAAATGGATGTGAAAACAGCCTTTCTTAATGGGGACTTAGATGAGGAAGTTTATATGGATCAACTCGAAGGGTTTTTCATAGAAGGAAAGGGTCACATGGTGTGTAAACTTAAGAAGTCAATATATGGACTTAAACAAACTTCCAGACAATGGTATATTAAGTTTAATGATACCATCACGTCTTTTGGTTTTCAAGAAAACACTGTTGATCAGTGTATTTACCAGAAAATCAGTGGGAGTAAGTTTATATTTTTGGTTCTATATGTTGACGATATCCTACTTGCTGCTAATGATTTGGGAATTTTGCATGAGACTAAAGATTTTCTCTCAAAGAATTTTGAAATGAAAGATATGGGAGAGGCATCCTATGTGATTAGAATTTCTATATTTCGGGATAGATCACAAGGAATGTTGGGATTGTCTCAGAAAGCTTATATCGAGAAAATTCTTGAGAGATTTAGTATGAACAATTGTTCACCAAGTGTTGTCCCATTACAGAAAGGGGATAAGTTTAGTCTTATGCAATGCCCTAAGAATGATGTGGAACGAAAGAGTATGAAATCTATTTCATATGCTTCTGATGTGGGTAGTTTGATGTACTTGCAAACTTGCACGAGGCCTGATATTAGCTTCGCTGTGGGAATGCTTGGCCGATATCAAAGTAATCCTGGATTGGATCACTGGAAAGCTGCAAAAAAAGTGATGAGATACCTTCAAGGGACGAAGGATCAAATGCTCACGTTTAGGAAATCTGATCGCCTTGAGGTGATTGGATATTCAGATTCAGATTTTGCTGGGTGCCTTGACAGTCGCAAGTCAACGTTTGGCTATGTGTTTCTCCTCCCCGAAGGAGCAATATCATGTAAAAGTGCCAAACTGTCTGTCATAGTTGCATCTACTATGGAGGCTGAATTTGTAGCTTGTTTTGAGGCTACAATTCACGCATTATGGCTACAGAACTTTATTTCGGGACTTGGGGTTGTCGACACCATTACCAAGCCGCTGAAACTATTGTGATAATTCCGCAGCAGTTTTCTTCTCCAAGAACGACAAATATTCCAAATGTGCAAAACACATGGAATTAAAGTATTTTGCCGTTAAAGAGGAAGTTCATAAACAAAGAGTGTGCATTGAACATATAAATACGGACCTTATGATTGCCGATTCGTTAACTAAAGGTCTACAACCAAAGACATTTAAAGAACATGTACATAGAATGGGTCTTGGTTGTATTGATGATTGATTATGATGATGTTATGGCACACTCTTAAGCTCATTGATGTTATGTTTCTAACTATTATCGAAATTTCTTGTTCATTATGATTTTGATACATTATGTTTAGAACAAGAAATGAATGTCTTCATGACAATTAAGTGGACATTATGATATTTATATATAACTATGAAACTTGATGTGATGAACTGTTACTGTAGTAGTATATGGAAGGAAGTATGCGAATCGAGAGTGTACAACCGCCATAACTCTCACTATATGGTTTATCATGTCATAGTTTATTATGATGTATGGCATAATGAGATTTGTTTATGCGCACCTAATGTTATGCTATTAAATTAAGGGCTTTCGGACCAAGTGGGAGAATGTAAGAATATATGTGGCCCGAAAGCATTGGGCTCACATTTAATTATCCTATTGGATTAGGCCTTTATTAAATAGTCAAACAAATCTAAGTCATTAATCTGGATATTTGATGGACGTACCAGATCTAAAGCACCCCTATATAAATTAGTCATCTCTCCTCCTATTAGGGTACGCAGTAATTATCCCATCACTTTTCTGCTACGTTAAGAGAAGGTCAAGAGGGAGAAACTGATTTAGATCTATCGATTCAACCCCGTGTGATCATCAAGATCAAGATCGCAAATTATGTCGTCTTCCGCACCAAGTAAGTAATTCGTATACACCAAATTATTTATTCAAGATCCATGATGAAGTTTACAGTTTAATCTAAGCAAAAATTTTATGGAGCCATCAGATAGTTTTTTTATGGAGCAATCCACCGCTTAATGTATTGACACATATCCGAAATGTATTTATTGTAGGACACGTGTCAATACACTATTGGTGGATCAGATGGCTCCATAGCAAAACTGTTAATCTAAGTTTGATTTGCGGGAAAAAGAAAGAATCATGTTAATTATTTTCATTTTCATTAGCGAAATGAAAGCCAGGTAGAGAAATGACAACCTATTGGATTTTCAATAGGTTGTCTCTAAAGTGCATAATGCTGGGCTTTGGGCTAAAATTCTGCTAAGTAGAATCGCTACTAATGGGCTGGAGCATAGAGAAGATTTTTGGGTATACCTTCAATGGATTCTTTAATGAGTTTGGTCAGTTGTATATATAGTTGGGCCGACGCCGTAGTTGAGTATATGGTTTGGGCTGGGCCTCTTTTGTTTCTTTTTCCTTTTTTAAACTTGAATGCATGCCCACCAACGCATAGGTTAACATGGAATTACATTGCGTGAATTTCTTTTCTATTTTCATATTTCAAAATTCGATAAATCAAATGAATACATAACTTTTGTTGATGGAAAAGTCAGGTATAATTACTAGTACCATTACAATATCGTATATTATTAGCTGGACAACTTAGTTAAGCAAGGGTTGTTGGTTCATGAATAATTAGTTCGGTTCATCGACATGGAGATTGAAGAGGGGAAGCAGTTTATTGGAGTAATCTAGCTCGAGTAGCATCCTTGAATGACCTAATCATACTCGATATAGTAGTAATTGACTGTATAAAGTTGTGTTGATCGATATTAGAAGAATATGTGACTTCTGGATCAAGAAGACTATAAATAAAGTAATAAAATTCTTGTAG